TTTCCGTTACCAACTTAAACATAAATATGTAAACAAGTAACATGCATCCAACAATACAACCATATCTCAGATTCCCAAAATCAAACAGTAGTGAGGTAAGCAGTGATATATGCATTTAAAACCATAGAATAGATAAATCAGATACCATAAAGCAATTAAACTGTAAAATAAATTAAACAGAAATCGACAGAGAATAATATCCGGTTCGGGCTCCATTAGCAACCATAATTAATTATGCATATCTATTTAATTTGTACAAAATACAATATTATTATTTATTCAAACTTCACATATATGATAGAAAATAGGATGAGGGGTCCTTACTTGATTCGACACCGAAAACTGGAAGGTTACTGCACCTACAGGCGGTCCCTGGGTTCCCTGAATTTTTCTTCGGGAACTAAAATGCGCTTACGGTACCTATAAGTGTCCCAAATAAATCCAAAAATCAAACTCAGGGCCTACTCGGCCAATTTTGAAATTCCGACACAGCAGCTCTGCCGTGTTCTGGAGACGGTGCAGCTGCCCGCGGCGGCGATTCGCCTCAGATTGGCTGTTTTCAGGCGTTTTAGGCTGAATTCAGCCGAACTTGTACCGGTTCCTATGAGAAAACAGACTTATGACCCTTGATGGGCCGAACAAATGTAGAAAATTGAAATTCACCGACGGTAGGGCTCTCCGGTACGGCGGCTCCTCCGGCTCACATTGTGGTTGGGTGTTTTGCTTCGGTCAACCTGTAGAGAAGAAAACAGTGGTCACAACGGTGGAAAAATCACATCGAACGGGAATCGGAAAGGGCCTCATCTGAGGCATTTTCTGAAACACCCTGCGACAGCGCCGCTGAGCTTCGGCGGCGTTTTCTGGCCAATCAGCTGGTTCTTTCACTCCGATTTAGCCATGGGTAGGTTTAAAATTGAATTTCATGCAAGAGGGGAAATTTTTACTTCGTTTGGCAGTCAGAAATTGCTCCGGTACTGCGGTGGATGGCGATGGTCGGCTCCCCGTCGGCTGGGCTGTCTTCTCTGGCGAGGGGCTCTAGCGACTAGGGTTAGGGTTTGGGTGCGGATGGAGTTATTTATACCCATCCGCTTTTGATCTGGACCGTCCATCGCTT